AAAGCTTCTCCTTAACTGTGCGTCTTGCGCTTTGTCTTCCCCGAGACCTCTTCCTTTTCTAAACTTGAGCTTCCTTGCACTCTCACCCACATTATCAGCATCCACAACCTTTCCTCTTCTGAAATGTAATTTCCGAGCCTCTTCATCTAGAGAATCGCCCTCGTTTCTTGCTCTTGGTTTCTTCTCTCCATTGGTCATTACAATCTCTTCTTCTGCGCTTTCAGCTTCGTTGCTTCCTGAAAGGTAATCATAATCCTCTGTTTCTGAAACAGTGAACTCATCGTCTTTTTGAATTGATTGAATCGGTCGAAGGGGAGGAAAAGGTTCAACAAGGCATTGCTGATTCTGATCATGTTCAGAGACGACTTTGCTCGTTGTTTCCATTTCCACAACGTGCAATGTTTTCTCCTCCACTGGATAACCATCTACCTGCTCATTAGATTCATCAGTGCGATTCACATGTCTTGGTTTCTGATTAGGTCGAGAAGAGGAGGAAGAGGCAGTCTTCAAGCTCTGACTCTTCCTCAAACTTGAATTTCCGGCTAGTCTTATCGATAATCTTGGAGAAAGCGAAGCTCTTGGAGTCACCGGAACCTTCCTTGGAACAACTCTAGAGGAAGCTGTAGCCTTCCTTATCTTTGTATCTTCATCTTTTCCTCTAATTGTTTTCTCCATTTTTGGCTGCAGAACTGGTAAAGAAGCAACTTGCTCATTGTTTACTTTAGATTTCGAAGTTGCTAATGCTGAATAAGATTTCGTTAAGGCTTTCTTCTTCAGGGCATCGCCATTTCCTGATGAACGAGATCCCGAATCTGGTGAAGGTTTAAGCTTGGAACTTAAAGTCATTTTCTTTTTGATCTGCTTCACAGGAGTTTCATCACCAGATGATATTATCAATGCCTCTTGCCTCTTCAGCCCACTAGAAACACCACTAACTTGATACTTCACAACCTCTCTTTTGATAATCTCAGAAGAATCATCCGTAACCTTTTTTTTCTCGACTTCCATTACTTTCTTCGATTTAGAAGAACCGGACTTTGAAGTTTCATTCAGAACATCAACAGAAGCTTTCTTGAAGATCTTTTTAGTAGTCGAACGCCATGGCTTTTCCACGGTTATCTGTTTCTTCCCGTACTTGCACAAATCGTGACACGAACCAGTAGATGGTCTAAGGTAACGAGGAATCACTTTCTCTTTAGACTTTGAAGCCAAAGCCTTCCCCGTAGAGTCTCCACTCGGTTTATAACCGTCTTCCTTATTCATCATTTCAGGCGTTCCAAAGCTACACACAATATCTTCTTCCATCAGATTGCACCACCTATTCATAATTTCAGACATAAGACAACCAAACTAACCAGAATCAATCACTACTTTATACCAATTCAAATATATATAAACAAGAAAACAGATCACTGAAGAGATTAACAGACAAAAACCCCTAACAGAAACCCAAACTTAAACCATAAAAAAAAAAACCGACTAAAAATAGGAAATGAGCTAGCAACGACATTATCCATCACATGATATGCCAAAATAAAACAGTTTTACTGTAACCAAAAACAACCCTTTTGCACTGAAAAGCAAACGAACATACCTATCGAATTTAGTTAAAGCAGCTTGGATCTTTTGGCTATCAATCTGCTAAACAAAAAGCACCAAGAAGAACTCAGAGAGAATTAAGTTTATCTTCAACAATATGTAAAACAGAGAAATGATTCGAAAACTAAGCAAACAAATGTCATTGGACAAAGACAATGCAACGTATCTTGAAGAAGTCTCTAAATAAATCAAATGTAAAGCCAAAAAAACTTCAACTTGAAGCATCAAACAACCCAAAATTAAAGCAAAAGATCCAAACTTTTTTACGTTTCTATTGAAAACAGATTCGATTAATTCTCAAACAACGAATCCCATTACCGATTAATTAAGTGGGGAGAAATCATTTTGAATCAAAAACCAATCTCAATATTTCTACCAAATAGTCAAAAAAGCAGAGAAATTATTTACCTAAAATACTTTTTTTTTTCCAGGACAATGATTTTAACAATGGAGAATCAGATTATTGAGATTAAAAGCTACAAAATTTGATAATCTTTTTTCTTCTGGGTCGGTTTTTGATTAGATCGTGCAAGCAACTCAAAAAAAAAAGAGGTTTTTTTTT